GCATCCAGGGAAAAACCAAATCTTAGATAGGTGAATGCAAATCTAGCAGAATTACAGATCAGTAGCTTCTCTGCCCAAAACAGATTGGGCATTCCTTATTCAAAGTGGCCACTGAGTAAGATGCGACTTGGGGGTGGGGTGGGGACAGAGGAAATCCTGTTGCCAGCCACCTTGCTACTGAGCCATCTGGAGCACATTATCTGTAGCTTTGGAGTATCCTCTAGAGGCTTCTAATACACAGAATGATCTGCTTCTAAAGCCTCTTGCCTCCATGCCATTAAGTTCTTTGGCACTGATGATGGATTTCCTGTGGCAAGGAAACCATTTTTACTTTCGTCAGCTATTCTAAAAGTCAACAGATTGATACAGTTGGTTATGGAAGGCAGTTGCTAATACTCTGAGGCCCAGGCCCTGATCTCTTGCCATCTAAACTAGTGATTCTCAGTCAGGGACATTCTCCCCCTCCAGGGGACATTTGGCAACGTCTGGAGATGGCTTGGGTCACCACAGCAGGGGTAGAAGGTGCTGTTGGCATCAGGTGAGCAGAGGCCTGGGATGTGGCTAAGCACCCTACGAGGCAGAGGGTCACCGCCCATAACAAAGAATGCAGGCCAGAAAGTCAGGTACAACTGAGGTCGAGAAATGTATCTAGACTATTCTGCTGGACTTTGAATCTACCTTGTACACCACTGCCAAACCAATATTCTTAAACCATCAAATTTATCCATCACTCATGATCTCTAATCGCTCCTCAGTGCCTGAAAGATCAAGTCTCCTCTTCTCATCCCGGCATTTAGACCCTGAGGGATTTTGCCCACGGACATACCTGTTCCCCAGCAGGAACTCTGCTTCTCCCAAGCTTTCATCTGCACCGTCCTCCACACCACCGCCCTTTCACCAATGTTCCCCTCGAAACACATACCTTGTAAGGATCCTTCCCACATCTCTCCTCCTACCCAGATCTTACTCACTCTTTGAAACCCACGTGCTCTGCACACCCCTCTGCTACCGAGTCAGTCTGTACCTCTCTCTTTTGCACTTACACTGTTACATAGCTATTCCTTTTATCTTGTCCCCTGAATAAACTTGAAAGAGTCCGTATTGTATTTCTGGCCAATTGGTCTCAATCACTACAAACTAAGGTGTGCGAACTATACTGTTGTATTAAGAGTTTCTTGTATTGAGAGTCAAATGAGACAAGTATGAAAAGCACTTTGTATAGGGCCTGGTACTCAGTGAAATGCTCAGAAAATTACAGTGTCGTAGCATCTATAGATGCATACATTCCAGAGCCCATAGAAAGTGCTTAATAAATCTCTTAAATGTAGTCACATACTGGAGAGAGTGTGCATTCAGACTACCCTGGTATTTGGTATTTGGAACTGAGAGCAAAGAAAACCGTCCATCAGAAACCCTGTAGCAATGAACACACCTTCATGCTGGAGTGAGTCTGGGAGCAGTGGTGCCACGTCCCAAAGTGGTACCGAAGCCAACATCTTTGCATTTAACAAGTTAATGAACAGCTTGTGAGCGACGCTTTGCCCACTCTGACCCAGTCTAGAAGGCTCCCTGTACAGGCAGACGTGACTATGCTATGCTCAGCTGTGCTGGGGTCCCAGCTGTGTCCTCCCTGAGTGCTTTCACTCTTGACCAGTGGAGGGTCTGACGGTGGGTTGAGGTGGCCGTTGAGGGCCTGACCTTTCCCCACGTGGAAGAGACAGCCTTGTGTCAGATCCTGGGAGAGAAGAGAGTGGGGCACGGTATTCCGAGCAGCCCAGGTTTGGCTTTGGGCCAGGCAATGAGTGGCAAACAAGAAGGAACACATTCCAGGAAGGCAAGGAGCCCTGCCAACGCGCAGGCAGCCCAACGAGAAGGGCCTGCCGGGCGCCAGGTGCTCCTGCGCTCTGTGGAGGTCAGGTGCACGGGGATGGACTTGGGTTTCTCTGGATTGTCACCTCAGAGGCTTAACCACCCCCCTCCCTCTCTGCAGTCAGAGGACAGAGCATATATACTGTTCAGTTGGAATCTGCTCTGGGGTCCAGCCCCTTATCGCTAAATGAAGAAGGAGGGGAAAGGGTGTTGTTGCCTCCTGAAATGACACTGTGTGAGAGCCAGGTTTCTGTCAGTCTGTGCTGAGTGAAAGGAGATGCTACTGACGAGGGGGGTGAAAGCCCAAGATTTCTGTGCCCTTGTTGGAAGAGAAGTGGAGCTCTCGGCCGCCCCCTGCGGACTTCACGTGCTCGGGCACAAACACACACCTTTGTTCCTCAGGACCACTGGTTCCTCCTTCCCCTGGGCCTGTCCTTCAGCAGGTCTGGAGGGTCCAGGGCAATGTGTTCCTTTCAGAATCACCTGGGGCCTTTCTCCAGGCTGTGTGAAAGAAGAGAGAAGCGGAGAAGAGAAAGGACCAAAGGGGACAGGGGAGAATTGGCAGTGTGGTGGCCCTGGACCAGGCCTGGGCCCATTTTCACCCCAAAAGAGGACAGAAGGGGGGTTTCTTTGAAAAAGAAATGAGGTCTGTTCCTCCACACCTGGGTTCCAGTTCCTGTTGGACTTTGCTGCCACCTAGTGGCCAGATTGGCATTGCCTTTTCTCGGAGCCCAGCCTAGGGATATGGCCTATGTCCTGCCCCAGGCAAACCAGGGAGCCTTTTCTGAGAGTTTCTCTACCCTAGCACGCCCTGATTCTGTGGCCCATCAGCTAGGACAGAGGAGCAGCACGACCTCACCCAGCTCCACAGTGTCCTAATGCCGTGGCCAGCAAGTAGGAGGACCAGGGCTGGCGTGGCTGGGCGCCTGCCTGGGCGGAGTGGTGTGTTGCTCCGGAGGCACCGTTTCCCCAGCTGCCCTCATTCCTGGACACCCTTCTCACTAGAATGCCTGCGCCTCCTCACACCTGGCCTCAGCCCTTGTTGCAAGACTGAAGCTCCTGCAATGTATAGGTAGATGAATTCTTTCTCTCCCTTTCTCCAAATTTAAGGCAGTTGTCTCCCTTATAGTTAGCTCATTTCAACCTAAAAATATAAACATAAAATTGAATGTCCAGCCTGTGACACTGCTACTATAAACCAGTCCTTGGGAAAGGTGAAAGGGGGGTATGTGTAGATTATCAGCCGTGTTTTCCTGCACTTTACACCCACAGGTTTATCTCCTTTAGCAAAAGCACTTGGTTTCTGCACCCACTGATCCTACCAGCTCCAAACTTCCAGATCTGAGCTGCCCCAAACTTCCTTCTCCTGTCTACCCTCCAACCTCTTTTTTTTATTGTAAAATACACATAAAGTTTTCTGTCTTAACCATTTTAAATGCATAGTTTCATAGTTCAAAGCACATTCATATTACTATGCAACAATCACTGCCGCCGATCTCCAGAACTCTTCTCATCTTGCAAAACTGAAACTCCATGCCCATTAAACAGTAGCTCTCCACGCCCCTCCCTGCAGCCCTGGGCAACCACCACTCTCCTTCCTGTCTCTGTGGATTTGCCCACCCCAGGTACTTCACATAAGTAGAATCACACAGTATTTGTGTGTGTCTGGCTTATTGCACTGAGCATCATGTCCTCGGTGTTCACCTGTGTTGTAGTTTGTGTCAGAATGCCCTTCCATTTTAAAGCTGAATAACATTGTATGTGTACACCACATTTTGCTCACCCACTCATTTTGATGGACCTTGTTGCTTCTGTCTTTTGACTATTGTGGGAATGATGCTAAGAACATTTATGTACAGGTAGCTGTTTGAGACCCTGTTTTCAGTTCTTTTGGGTATACACCTAGAAGTAGTATTACTAGGTCACAAAATAGTTCTATTTTTAATTATTTATTTATTTTTTAAATTAATTAATTTATTTTTAGAGAGAGGGGAAGGGAAGGAGAAAGAGTGGGAGAGAAACATCAATGTATGGTTGCCTCTCATGTGCCCCCCTACTGGGGACCTGGCCCACAACCCAGGCATGTGCCCTGACTGAGAATCGAACCAGGGACCCTTTGGTTCACAGGCCCACACTCAATCCACTGAGCCACACAAGCCAAGGCCTTTTACCCATTTTCAAATAGGGTTGTTGGTTGCGGTCATTGAGTTGACCTCTTCAACCTCTTTTCACGTCACAGTCCCACTTAATTAGTATCCTAGAGACATGTAGATGGTCTCTTTCTCAAAGACATTTACACTCTTTCCTACCTTTCGTGGTTGCTGATCCATTTCCCAGGAATGCTCATGTTTCAGCTCCACCCGTGGCCGGCTCCTCGTTCTTTAAGAACCAGCTTAAATGGCACTTTAGAGAGTCTTTCCTGACCACCTGTCTAAACCCATCTTGCTAATTTAACCTCACATCACTGTTTCTTTCCTCCTGGAACTTAATCAGAACCTGCAATTACCTCATCTGTTTACATATTTACTTGGGACTTAACATTTACATGGAACACAAGTGCCAAGGAGGTGCAGAGACACTGCCTAACTGGGTCACGGCGACAGTCTAGGGCTCTGCATAGCAGCCGGCACATACTCTGGGCTCGATGTTGACAGAATAAATGAATTCCTACTGGAGGGACGTCCGGGGAGAAAGCAAGGTGACGTGTGGCCCCAGCTGGAGTTTAACCTGCCAAAGCTAGGCTTGATATCACAGAAAAGATCACAGGAATTTTCTAGTGCCCAGTTCAGGGATTTAATTCCCGAGGACTCAGTGCCTGAGTACTGAGGAGCACAGCACTATTCGAACCACGGACATTGCTTTAGAGTCTCCCCGGAGAAATGGGGAGGCCTCCTCCGTGTCCCCGCAACAGAGACAGACCGTGGTGGTTCACTGTGGCCACCCTTACCCTTTGCATGTGCCTGAAGTATGAGTTAGCTCAGCTACAGTCCCGTGAGGTTCCCAGAGTACTTGGGATTCTAGGAACGACTTGGGCTCTTTCACTCTCCCTGGTGCCGGATGTATCAGTGAGAGCACCTTTAGTGAGCAGTCAAAAGATAAAGATGAACTTTCCATATTACCGGACACTGGCAAAATCAGAATTTTTTTATTTAAAACTATTTTCAAAGGCTAATGCCAGAGTGAAACAACCTGAGAATAGTTGAACCAGACTCTCAGGGAATTAGAGGAACATCAGCCAATGCAAGGCGGTCTGGATAAATACACACAATTTATACATGAGCACAAGAAAAGGTACTCTGGCCCCAGAGAACCAGGATGGGGGACAAGAGGGAGAGACAGAGAAAGGACCCTCCAGAGGGGCAGGCACAACCATACCACTCAGAGCCCTGGACCCTAGAGCGCCTCCAAACTGTCTACCCTACGGCATGCCTCTTGCCTCCTGAGCCCGGGACATGGCCGTGTTCACCAGCATCACAGCCGCCATCACAGCTCAGAGAATGGGTCTGCTCTCCCCACTTTTCAGCAAGCACCAGGGAGGGGAGACTCTAGGGAACGTAGCATTATGTCCCCCAAAACAGGAGAAAAGGAGTGATGAAGGGGGCTGGTTTCCCGAAAAGGGTGAGTATTCATCCAGTGTGGCACCGTAGGGAAACGGGGTGGTGAGTGTCACCTGAGACACACAGATTGGGTGCAAGCAACCCACAAGGCCAGGCTCCAACTTAACCCTAGACCCCAGACCCTAGAGACCTGCAGACCGAGCTTAGCGAGTCATACTGTCAGTCCCTCCAGGCCTCACTGGGGTTTGTCATGAGCAGGACAGATGATCATGGCTCCCACTCGGGCTTCTCCCCAGTTAACCTCTCAGGTGTCTGACAGTGGGAAACAGTGGCCATTTCTGACACCACTCCCCTCACCACCGGTGACTTTCTCTGATCCTGCTGGCCTCACCGCAGCCCTTACAGAGCTTCCCAAGTCACCATGGTAGTGTGTGTGGCCCCTAGGGACAGCAGGCCAGAGTCTGAGGCACAGAGCAGCTTTGCAGACTAGAGAAGACCTTGACAGAGAGGGAGGAATCTCTAAATCAGAGCCACACCTGTTTACACTTTCCATCCCCTCCCTCTCTTGTTCCCAAAGGTATCAAACTGACTGCCTTGGTCCCTTCACTGTACCAGAACCACTGTGGACACCTCCACCTTTTGCATGGACAACAAAGGCTATGGAGTGGCTACAGGTAATGCGGGCATCACGTCCGGGCCCCAGCCATGCCCCGCAACGGGCTGCTCCTGGCCATGCCAAAGGTGCAGGCAGTCAGGCAGAGAGAACAAAGCAATACCTCGGATCAAAGCCGCCACCTGCGTCATGCCTGCTCTCCACCTGCAGCACTTTGGAAATGTGTGTGCGCACCAGGGGGAGATCTGGTTCCGGTCTGCGATCAAAGGAATGGAACGCCGGACCTCTGTTCTCCTTCCCAGCCTGGCCCCTGCCCCTGCCCCTGCAGCGTCCTTGCAGGGTTGGCCAGCCTCCTCATGTGGAGCCTCAGCACACTTTTTTTTTTAAATGTCCACCAAGGACATGCTTATTGACTCTAGTGTGAGGAGAAGGGAGGGAGAGAGAGGGAGAGCTGTCCTGATGTGACAGGGAAACGTCGATCGGTTGCCTCCCACACGGGGCTAACTGGGACTGGACCTGCAACCCAGGCACGTGCCCAAACCCAGAATAGAACTCGCAACCTTTTGGTTTCCGAGATGATGCTCCAACCAACTGAGCCACACCAGCCCGGGCAAATATTCCTTTCTTGATGGAGTCCTGGCCACAGGCCCTTCCCTCTCCTTTTTCATAAGTTGCCCCCACCTCCCTCCAGCCTGCCCCAGGCCTGATGGGTAGGTGCCTGGGCCCCTGCAGAGAAGTCCTGTGAGCCAAAGAGCAGGGCCCCTCTCTGTACGTGGGGCGAGAACAGTTTGGGTACTGGCCTCTGTCCCAGCACTGGACTGAGCACGTGACAAAGAGCTGCCTCTCGCTTGTCAGAACATGGCCTGTCCCTTGGTGTGGCCCCTGGTCCCCTCCTGTGTGCCAGAACTGTTTCTGAGGAGCAAGGTGAGTTTTTGTTTTGTTTTGTTTTGTTTCACTGAACTGGTCGCTGAAGCTTAGTGTATAGGATTCCTCAGCTGGTTCTAAAAATCTGGCTTTTTGTCTGAGTTTAAAAACTGTAGGAGCTTTTTAAACAGATACTCCAGTTCACTCAGTAAAGGAAGCAGAAGAGTCAGGGGAAGAGGAGGGATTCGGGCTGTTTTCCTTCACAGTCAGTCCCAGCACGACAGCAGCGTCATGGGCCCAAGGGGGCCACGGATGGACCCTTAGCACCCAGGCATTCTTCTGGGCGGAGTGAGGACAGAGGCCGAGAGGCTGTTACCTGCACACAGGAGAGACGCCCAGATCAGAGAACGGGCCTGGACAGCAGACAGGCCGACGAAGCCTCCCCTGCCGCCCTTGTAAAGTGGGTCGGGTGGGGTCTGCATACCCTGCCCACCCTGCGCACTCTGCCCAACCCTGCTTGGGGCCATCATGTTGAGGGCAGAGCCAGCCCAGTGAGGGGCATGAGCAGCTCAGCTCGTGGTCCCTGTCCTTAGCCCTGAATCCCAGAGGCACTGGGAAGAGAAAGGGGCGTCACCTGTGCCCAGGGACTGGGCCGTCCCAGTTCAGGGAGCACAGCTGCTGTTCCAGCCGGGAGATGCGGAACGCCAGGTAGGATGAGGACAGGACCAAGCAGCAGATCCTGGAGGGAAGGGGCGGGGGGGCTGAGTCTCTCTTCTAGAAGAGGGGCATCTTTAGAGGCTCACCGGAAGTAGGAGTGGGACCGAGCTACTCCGGCAACTGGAAGAATTACAGAACCCTCGGCCCCACAGCCGCAGTCGAGCCTGCGACCACCTGGGCCTGCCGAGGCCCGTGTCTCTGGAGGTGTCCTCAGGGCCCAGCAGGAGTTCGGTTCTTCATCTGTTCCCGCCTTCCCTCTAACCAGCCACCTTGGCCCGGCACCTCCTCTGGGAGAGGGAAATCACCCTCTAAGGGGGCAGGCCCTACCCAGCTCAGCCAGGGGAAGGAGATGAGGCTAGAGGAGAGGAAGCCAGGGACCGCTGTCCATGACACGGCCCACCTAGCCCGCTGCCCGCTGGTCCTTCGGCAGTCACAGACAAGTCGGGGGTGCCAGAAACTGCCCTAATGGCGGCTTTCCCCTAGTCTGTCTGGTGCCGGCCCTCCCCGGTTCTGCGCAGCTTGTCCTTTTCCCAACAGTTTCATACCCTGCCCTCCGCACTGCGCCCAGCCCTAACCCTAAATTACAGGGTTATAAAAATAAAAACTAGATACTCTGTCTCACCACACAAGGGCCTGCCAGGTGACCTCCAGACACCACCCAGGAGCCTCCAGTTGACTCAGCATCTTCCCCTCGCTCTTGACACCTGTTTGGAACAGGGGCCCACACACCAGGGCCCCTGTTCCAAACACCCAGACAGCCAGGTGGGTCTACCCGCCCCCCCAATACAGTCACCTACAACACAAAGAAGACCTTGAGGAGCCGGTAATTCCAGAGCCTCAGTTCCTCGTTGCTCCTGGTCTCCTCCTCCAGTGCCTCCTGTGCACAGACGGCATTTTCTGCAGTGAGAGAGCAGTTAGTCACCTCCCTGGGACAGGCGGGGCCCCAGCTCAGCACGGGCACGCCCACGTTCGGCCGTCCTCTGAAGCGACTGGGATTCTTGGCTTGCCCTATGCGCTTGGAGGAAGAAAGGAACAGCTCTCAGAAGCCCTGCTGGCTGCGATGACCCCTTGTCACAGAAGTGAGAGGAGGAGAAGCCTGGTCTTTGCTGCCGTGGACAAGCCCCCTGAACTCACCAGACCGCGGGGGTTTCCTGGAGGGGAACAGGCTGTCCGGGGAGTCCATGGGTGCCTGAGGGACGCAGGGGATGCTGTCTGGGAGGGACAGGGACCTCGAGGCAGGGCACATTTTCCTCCATTTCATCTCAGGGATGAGGACTTCCTGCAGGGGAAGCAGGAGAAGCTGTCCCATCAGGGCCCTTGGGATCTGACTTGCCCTGAAGGGCCCATACCAGCTTTATCAATGCGTTCTTCACATATTGCCAACACAGATGCCCAGCACGGCATGGGAGCAGGTACCCAGGAGGGGGACCATTGCCAGGGCAACCGCAGTCTCTCCTGCCTGCTCCCTTGCTGTGACCAGCTGCTCTTCCAGGGAACAACGTCTTTGCACACTGCTAGGGTAGAGCCACCGCAGGATCCAAGACGCGAGACCACCCAAGTACGCACTCAGGCCGGCTGAGTCGGAGAAGGCTCAGCACAACCCGTCCCAGGTGGGGTAAGTCACGAACGACTGCTCATCTGGGCTCTCGGCCTGAGCACGTCACTGATCTTGGCAGTGGGCACTTAAGGTCCCCGTCAACAAAACTGGGAACATCACCTTCTATCTCCCTGCGTGGCATTGTGCATACTGCATGCTTGGCTGGCTGCTTCCTAGTTGTTGAAGGAGGCTTCAAACACCATGGGGCCACTTCCACCTCCCACCCCTGCTCTGAAAACTCAGCTCTGCCCACCCAGAGCCCCAGCTGGCAAAGGAAACTGCTGGGATCTCAGCAAGTCTAAAATGAGTCTCAGTTTTGCAGTAATAGCCTTCGATGTTCTCCAGGGATGTCTCTATCCTCTGAAAGGCCCTTCTGACTTCATTAAAAGAAAAAGGATGGGTCACTGGTTCTGTCCCTGTAAAGGTGTGGGATCCGATCTGGACTGTTCTGAGGTAGGAATCTGTTCGGCTCACAAAGCCAGTGGGTCTGGCCAGGACCCGTGGCTCTGCGTGGTCTGGGGTGTGGTGGGTCTAGGAGACTCCTGACACCGCATGATTGCTGGCTCTCGAGCTTGGTGCCTCAGTTGTGCATTGCGGCCCCTCCCTGCCTGGAAGGCCTGAGCCTCAAAGCCACAGGCAATCCCCAGCCAGCAGCGGTTGCTCCCAGCTTTGGCTCTCACCAGGGACTCGCACTCAGGTTCCTCTGGAAATTCTCTTACACTCAGACTCTTCTTGCTGGAAGGCTGAGGAGGAAAGAGAATAGGGGTGACTCGTCCATCTGGAACAGCCACGGTCAGGCATGGGGCGGCATTAGCACGCCTTAAGAGAACTCTACCTCCGTTCTGGATCAGATGGAGCCTAGCTCCCAGCATTTGCAGGGGTGCCCGATTTAATGCTGGAGCACAGGGGCGAGTCCAAGGCAACTGCTGCCCAGCTGCTGCCACCCCTCCCCCTTCCACACCTTAGGCCAGAGGGAGCTACAGGCATCCGGGGAAGCAGCCCATGCTGCCGTCTGCTTGTACACTGAGGAAGCCCAAGGGAGGGCATGTATGTGGGGACACACCAAGTCCCACTGGCCTCAGAGACATGCTCACAAATACAGACAGTCCCAGGGTGGCCTCTGATACAGAGGCTGAGCCCGTTACTCCCCTCTCCCCGCCCTGTTCCCTGGGCTGAAGAAATGGGCCGATCTCCCCAACAGCCTTGTTCCCAAGACCTCAGCCCAGGCCTGAGTGGCCTCCCTGCCTCACTCCTGCTCCTGATCTCCGTACCTGTAGGTGAGTGCAGACCCTCCTCAGCATGTCATACACGCTGTCCCGGGAGAGCAGGGACACAAAAACATACTGGGACAAGGAAAGGAAACAAAGGGGCGGCGTGAGTAAAGACTCGGGGGTGGGGAGGGGCAGGGGGAGACCGGCGGGAGTGTGGCTCGGAGGTCGCACAGACCTTCTGGCTCGTGTTGGTGGTGATGACCAGGCCGTTGGGGAGGAGCCGTGCCATCTTGTGTTTTTTGATCGTTTGCACAGACACCACGGGAATGACCACCTGCGAGGGGAGAAACTCGCTGTTCTCAGGACCCATTCCCAAGGACACTGTCCCTTTGCTTCTGGCACAGGGCCCCAGCTGGCAGTGAGCCAAGCGCGGGTACCAAGGAGAAGCCTGGCCCCATGTGGCAGAGAGTACCTGGGGCTTCCCCTTCCCATGCAGGCTTTCCTTCCAGGTACCCCCCACCGTGCCCAGCCCTGGCAGCACGTCATCCCAGGCTTTTGCCCTCTTGTCCAAGAGGCCAAGGATGGCGGCTCTGTGGAACCTGTACCCTAGGGGTGGACTTCCCTGAGCTACTTCCTGACCACAGTTATGGCTCCCCCTACTCTGATTCCGCAGGCATTTCCAAGGCAGAACAATTCGGCGGAGAACTGTTCAGGCCAACTCAGGCCAGATACAGAGTCTCGATTTGGGGTCCCTGTTTTGGAAGGGGCAGCACTGACTCCAGGCAGGACACTGCACCACTGCTCATCCAACCAGCAAGCGGCAAGACAGGCGTGAGAAAAGGTGTGCCCAGGGGCGGGGGCTACCTCTTCCCTGGGCTGGGGCTGGACCCTCACTGGACTACAGCAGACCTTGCCATTCTTTACTACCTTGATATCCTTGCCAAAGAGGCTGGCATGGAAGCAGAGCCAGTTGGGGGAGATATAGAGCCGGCCCTGGAGAAGGAGGTCCCTCTGGAGAGCGCAGGAGCACACTGGGGAGTCACAGGAGAGAAGACTGCCATGAGGAGGGTCAGTCAGGAAGCCCCAGGACCCCAGTCCTCATACTTGAGAGTCCAGAATCCAGCCTCAGGAATGGTCTTCTCAGACCCCCCACTTCCCAAACAACCTGTCCCCAGGAGTCCTGACTGCCCCCACCCCATGCCAGCAGACTGCTAGATGTTTCCTCTCTCTCCATCCACACCCCAAAGGGCCTGAGCAGGTTTCTGCCCTGAGCCTGGATTCTCACTCCCTCAGGGAGAACCCCCTGCCCTGCCTGCCCTGCCTGCAGAGAGGGCTCCCAGGCTCAGGGAGGGGCCTGAGCAGGAAAGAACAGTCACTGATAAGAGCAGAACAGATAAAAAAGATTTGGAAGTCCTGACAGTTCCTCAAGAAAACTTTCATAAGTTCAACTTCATGACCCATACCAACCTAGTCTTCTCACACTTTTGAAGAAAAACAGACCAACCACATCCAAAGGGCAGCCAGTTCCCATTTCTAAATTGCGAGGCCAGTACCCGGGCCTCGGGCACCGCAGGCGCCTGCCCAGGCATGCAGGGGAGACAGCTCACCTTTGAGAACCACCTCCTCCAAGGGGATGTCCTTGAACAGCTTGTGGTATTGCTGGTTGTATTTATTCAGCAGTGTCTGCAAACACACAGGCTGGGGCTGAGAAGTCCTGGGAGATCACACATCAAAGGGGCCCCGCTCCAGCCACCAGGTCATGCCACAGGCCCCCCAGGGACGGAGCATGAAGAGGCCGGTGAACAGCCAGTTGGTGCAGAGGGCTGAGTTCCGAGCACAGCTTGTCCCCTGGTCACGCTGGGTCCCGACAGGCAGCCTATGCCTGGAAGGGAAATGTACCACTCCCACCCAGGAGGGGACACCATTCAGGTGCACTGGTGGCCAGGGAGCCAGCAGTCACTGAATTCAGATGCTCCAGGGCCCCTCCCTTGCTGGTCAGCAAGAAGTCAGTCTTCACACACTTACCCCTTCTCGACTGTACTTCTTTATCTCTTGACTCTTCAGGCCTTCTGGCCAGTGCAGACTGCAAAGGAGACATTCCATTCCAGCGGCAAGGAACCCTCCAGCCCTACCCGTTCATCCTCAGTGCCAGTGCTGCCCTGGCTTCAAGCCAGAAGCTTGGGGCAGAGATTGGAGGAGGGCCCTTCTCTAGGGACTACAGCACAGCGATAAGCACAGCAGCCAAGTAAGCTGATCCTGGGGAAGGACGCTCCTGTTTGCACAGAGGGGTGGCACAAAGGAGTCCCAATGACCCCTCCCTCCAGACCGTTGTGAGCATGCCCCGCCCCCCCCCCCCCCCCATTTTCTGGCCTGAGCTTAGATCTCCCAGAGATGTTTAGGAGCCATCCACCCCTGGGCGTCAAAAACCCTCTCCTATTTCTCTGGCCAAGGGGGAAGCAGAGGAACAGACTCAAGAATAAAGGAGTAGGAGGCACAGAAAGGGAAGAGAATCAGCCTGGGGAGTGGGTGAGATGGTGGTGTCAGACTCACAGCTCCGGGGCCTGACCATGGGCCATGATCCCAGCTGGGCTGCCCTCCCAGCAGCCTCCTCCTGGTGGCCTGGAGCTCTGCAGTGAGGTGTTTGGCAGACTCACCTGACCTCACAGAGGCTACCAAGGTTGGGGGAGAATGGGGAGGTGCTGAACCGCAAACCTTTGTCCTAGCCAAGTTGGCCTGAGGACAGGTGGGCAGGGGAGGAGGCTGGTAACCTGAGAAGCCGGGACTCTGCTAGGTCCCAGTGCACTGGGTCAGGCCTGGGAGTGGGCGGAAGAGGCCCTGGGCAACCGAGGCTCCACCTAACATTCTCACTCAGCCTGACAGTCCCATCTCCAACAAGTCACCTCCCGAGGGCTTCCCACCCCCAGTCTACATGCCTATCCGACTTAGCGGGGCCTCACCTGGAGTCCTGGGGTGTCGGAACCCTGTCCACTTTCTCTGTGCAGAACACAGGGCTCTTCAGAGAAGGCGTCTTCCCATGCATCTGTTGGTTGCTAAGAAGAAACAGGCCCACGTTGGGAAGGGGGCTTCATGGGAACACCTTCCCCCACGAGCTCCACCATACCCGGGGCAGCTGCCTCTGCTCGCTGCCCCAGACTGGCCCTGCTCTTCGGGGTGAGGCTGTGAAGACACTGCAGCCCTCAGGTTGCTGCTCAGGCAGGTGTTCTGGAGCAGCCAACAGAGGAGGGAGTCTCACTAGTCGTCTTTCCTAGAAGTCGGAGTTCAGTTTATCAGTTGGCCAGAAGAAAATCAATCCACCTCATGCGGATGCCAGGCAGAATTAGGCCTCTGGTCCCGCCTTTTAGAATGCACACTAGGAGGGAGGACTCTGAGACTCGCTCAAGGCTGAGAGCCAGTTCCGAGCTTTACTGTGAACCGTTGGTTTCTGGGAAGGGACGCTGGACACAGAAGCCCTCTTCAAAGCTGAGGAACTGAGGCGGCCTAGGGTGTGGGAGTGGATTCCAGAGAGCCCACAGGTAAATGTGGGCCAGGAGGGGAGGGGCTGCCCCACACCGGCTCCACGCTCCCACAGTGGAGTCACCACTGGCTGCCTTTGGACAATCAGGGTAGTGCAGGCTGAGAGCCAGTCCATCTCAGAAATGTCCCAGACTGAAGGCCCTGGACGGTGGAGACACCTCTCCCTGGGAAGAGGGAGCTCCTCAATTGCCTTTGAGTTCATGCCTCCACTAAATGGCTCCAAATAATAGGGTTCCCCGCTTTCTGCCCCTCCAGGAAGACAGGCTGGAAATAACAAAGCCTGAGCAGTCAAATTGGGCCCACGGCTGATGGGAAGAGGGTGGCCAACATGCAGAGCCGAGGCAGGACAGTGCAGTGGCAGGAACTGGTGACAGGCCCCGTGCAGTGGTCTCTCCCAGGTGAGGAGCGGGAACCTGGAGCCTGCCAATCACAGTGCTCAGTTGCTCTCAGTCTGTGACTCAGGCAAATCCAAGTTCTGTCCTTCAAGAACAGAGCTACAGACTCAGCAGAGATCTGCCAGGATTCTCAGAGAGTATTTAGTCTGATTTCCGCCCCCTCCCCACCAGACCCTTGTACAAGATTAGGAAACTGACACCAAGCAGGGCACAGGCTATACACACATCACAACCCAGTGACCTCACCTGCAAAATCGGCCCAGCCACAGCTCTGTGACCTGGTGGCCTCCGCCTCAGCCTTATGGAGGGTTTTGATATACACATCAACATATATTTCTTAAATCTTGCAAAGTGACAGATTGTAGTGATTTGACACTTTGACTCCCAAAGTTAACTTCAGAATTTATTTTGTTCCATCATTTCAGATTTCACAGAGGCTTTTTCCCCCTTGATTTAAATTTTTTTTTCTTTTATTGATTCTAGAGAGAGGGGGGAGGACAGGAGAAAAAGAGGGAGAGAAGCATCAGTGTGAGAGACCCGCAACCCTGGCACGCGCCCAGAATCAAACCCGTGGCCTTTGGGTTTGCAGGATGATACCCAACTAAGGGTGCCATACCACCAGGGCCCCCATTGGTTTTGTAATGCTAATTATAGAAAATAGATAAATATAATGATCAAAATCACCCCTAAGAAAAATATCCCCCCAAATCACCCAAAGATACATTTATGCATAAATTTATAATTTATGTGAGTGGGATTATATATCATATAATTTGTATGTCCTATTTTTCTTTCTTAACCTAAGATCATGAGAAATTCTCCAGATCACTGTCACTGTCCTAAGTAAGAGAAGCGTCTCAGAAGTGAAGTGAGCAGACTGAGAGTAAACATTTCTCAGGGTTACTAGACCCACTTCCAAAATGCTTTCCAGGCGCTTTACCAGTTGACGGGGACTTGGCACCGACTCTGGGTGCCCGCATCCTTACGTCCAAGCTCTACACTGGGCATTGTCTTTTTCTCACCTTTTGCAAATGTCATAGGTGAGAATGTATTGTTTGTATTTCCATTTCTACTTACTGGTAGGTTGAACATTTTTCCTAAATATTTATTAACTACTGAAATGTGAATTGTCTGTAAAGAATCTTCCTATTTTTCTTAGATTTGTACAAACTCTTTATTGAAAATATTAATCCTTGGCTTATCGTTTTTGCAAATATTTCCCCAAGTTAGTCATTTGCCTGTTAGTTTTGTCTGGTATTGTTGCTATACTTGTGTGTAATTTTTGTGTGGTAAACTCTATCCGTCTCATCTCTCTGTCCCTTATTTGGTTCGAGTGCTTTGACAAGAGTGGCCCCTGATGTGGCACAAGTCCAGGTCAAACCACTGAGCCCTCAGAGAGCATTAGCTGGGCAGCCAATGGCCCCACTGGGCCACCAGGGATGAGGAGGGCATGGGCTCCACTCTCAGGAACAAGCACTTGAGCCCGAAGACCAGGGGATAAAACAGGACCCCAAGGAGAAGGAGATGCAGCTTGGCTCGTGGTTTCAGAGGCAGGAAGACTGTCCCTCAGGCACTGGACAGTGTGATTTGAGCTGGAGGGGCTTCTGGAACTCAGAGGACATGAAGATGGTTGAGTGAAAGTTACAGGGGGGCTCGAGAGAAAAGGAAGTCCCACGGGGTAGGACTATGGCCTTGCTAACCTAACTGTGGCTGGATAGTCATGCCCTTGCATGGGTGGGTTCTAAACCGCTCATCTTTAGGTTTAAATGTGACTTTCCCAGGGAGGAGAGGCTTCCCTCGGCTCTCCGAAGCCCAGGGCAGAGGCTCTGCTGGGGCCCTCCCAACATCCAGGTCACTCCCTTCCTGCTATTGGTGTGCTCTCACTGTTCTTCTCCAGGGCTCTAGACCTTCGGGACTCTGCCTGCTCCACACTGACCCTCTGAGCCTGAACCCCAGGGTACACACAGGCACATGTTTGAGGAATGACTGGGAGAAGACAGCGTAAGCAGGATAAAGAGCAGAGGCTGGAGGAGCTACAGACCGTGAGGATAACAGAAGAGGGCTGTGCACATTCCCACTGCATCTCCATGAAGAAAATCACAGTAATAAATGGTGTCGTTTGGGAACACGCAACTTCCAAACATCTTCAAACTAAAAGCGACCCCTTTACTTGTGGTCAGTAGGATGGCTACGAGTCCTTCCTTCATGTCCATTCATGAGCCAGCTCTCCTGGCTGTCCTGACGAGGAGACTGCCCTGTGGCCAAAATACACTGCTTTCAAAATTGCCTTCAACTCAGGTGTTCTACTAATCAGTCTTTACCCCTACTGTGTTTGTTTAGATAAGTTAAAATGAAGAAAGGAGAGCAAAGATCTAGGGTGAAGTGATCACTGAACATTCAGCAGCAGAACTAGGCAGGTGAGTGGGTACCCAGAGGCTAACTGGGTTCCACCCAGAGGCCAGGAAGGAGGCTTCGAGAGCAGGGAGCCGGGAGGAGGGGCAGCTACTGTGGTCCCCCCACACTGCTGACAGCCTCCATCCATTCCCGCACAGACTTTTCCAAGGGAGCTGCTCTTACTCTGTGCCCTGTGAATTACACCCCCTGCCCACCCATGTCCACCCACCTCCACGTGCGAACTGTGGGGTTAACCATATTACAGGTTCTCCAAGAAGGTCAAAGACCTATACGCAGAGAATTATAAGACACCGAGGAAACTAAAGAAGCTTCATATAAATGGAAGCATATACTGTGTTCATGGATAGGAAGAATTAACATCATTAAAATGTCCGTACTACCCAAAGCAATCTATAGCTTCAACCCAATTCCTATAAAAATACCAATAATATTTTTATTTAAATACCAATAATATATTTTTAAAGATTTTGTTTATTTTTAGAGAGAAGGAAAGGGAAGGAGAAGGAGAGAAACATTGACATGACAGAGTTACATTGGTCAATTGCCCCTCCTGCGCCCCCTACTGGGGACCTGGCCCGCAACCCAGATATGTGCCCTGAGTGGGAACCGAACTGGTGGCCTTTAGGTTCACAGGCCAGGACTCAATCCACTGAGCCACACCAGCCAGGGCTACCAATAATATTTTATTTTTGTTGATCTTGGCAAGAGAGAGAGGTGGGGGGAGAGAGAGAAACATTGACCCATTGCTCCACCTGTTCATCTATTCATTGATTGCCCCTTGTATGTACCATCACTGGGGATCAAACCCAACACCTTGGACAATGCTCTCACCAACTGAGCCACTCAACCAGGGCCCAATGGCATATTTCACAGAACTAGAATGAAAAATCCAAAAATTTATATGGAACCGCAAAGACCAAATAGCCTCAGGAATACTGAGAAAGAAGAAAAAATTAGAAGTATACACTACGTGATACTCAAACTATACTACAAGGCTATAGTAATAAAAGTAGAATAGTAGTGGCATAAAAACAGATATATAGCTCAGTGGAATAGAACAGAGAGCCCAGAAACAAACCCATGTCTACGTGGTCAATTAATATTTGACAAAGGAGGTTAGAACATGCGATGGGGCAAACACAGTCTATTAAATACCTGGTGCTGGAAAAATTGGACGGATATACACACACACAAAAAAAATGAAACTAGATCACCTTCTTACACCATATCCAAGAATAAACTCAAAAATGGATTAAAAACTTAAATGTAAGACTCAAAACCATAAAACTCCTAGAAGAAAACAGACAGTAAAATCTCTGAGATTTTTTGCCCTGGCTGGTGTATGGCTCATTTGGTTGGAGAATCAACCTGCAGACCAAAAGGCGTTGAGGGTTCAATTCTTGGTAGGGGTACATACCCAGGTTGTGAGTTCAATTCCTGGTTGGGGCACGTATGGGAAGCTACCAATCAGTGTCTGTCTGTCTCTCTCTCTCTCAAAGCAATGAAAACAATGTCCTTGGGTGAGGATAAAAAAAAGAGTAAATAAAAAAATGTCTGACATTTCTCTTAGCAATTTTTTTCTGATATATCTTTTTGGGAAGGAACATAAAAAAATAAATAAATGGGATCACATCAAACTAAAAAGTTTTTGCTCAGCAAAAGAAACCATGTTTTGTTCAACAAAACAAAAGACAACCTGCTGAATG